TTTGGTCTATGTAATGCACCTCTGACCTTTCAGCGCATGATGGACACCGTTCTGCGCAACTTGAAATGGCACACGTGCTTGTGTTACCTCGATGACGTTGTTGTGTTCGCCCCAGATTTCTCCACGCATCTCCAACGTCTGAAAGAAGTTTTCGCACGTGTGAGCAATGCAGGCTTGCAACTAAATCTGAAGAAGTGCCGCTTTGCAGCACGGCAACTCACCATCCTAGGGTACGTCGTGTCCAAGGATGGCATTCTTCCTGACCCAGTCAAGCCTCGGGCCGTGGCCGAATTCCCCAAACCTGAGTCCGTCAAAGAACTGCGTAGTTTCATGGGCCTGTGCTCATACTTCTGACGCTTCATACGAAACTTTGCCACGATCATATCACCGCTGACGAAGCTCCTTGGAGGTAACGGGCCCCTCAATTCGTGGTCATCCGAGTGCGACGATGCGTTCGCAAAGCTCCGCCATTTGTTGACGTCTCCTCCCATTTTACGCCACTACGACCCTACGGCCCCAACGGAGGTGCACACGGACGCCAGCGGTGTATGCCTCGGTGCTGTCCTGGCGCAGCGCAAAGCTGGATCCCTGAATATGTCGTAGCATGTCCAAGCCTTACGCTCACGAGAGCCGAGACAAACTACACCGTTACGGAGAAAGAGTGCCTGGCGATTGTCTGAGCCCTCACAAAGTTTCTACCTTACTTGCATGGTCGCCCATTCGATGTCGTCACCGACCATCATGCACTATGCTGGCTTTCATCATTGAAGGATCTCTCAGGCCGTCTCGCCCGTTGGGCTCTTCGCTTACAAGACTACGACACCCGCGTGCTGTACCGCAACGGACGCCAGCATGCTGACGCCGACGCCCTCTCGCGCTCCCCTCTGCCTGAAGGTGATGTGCTCTGCTCAGTATCCTCGGCTGCTGTTTCTGCCATTGATGTTGACATCATCGCTACCGAACAACCAAAGGATAATTGGATCGGCGCGCTCATCGACTTGCTCTCTGATCTGTCCGCAACACCATCCACGCGTGCCTTGCGTCGTCAAGCTCGCCATTTCGCCATCCGTGAAGGCCTTCCACACCGACGCAATTACGACACCGATGGCCGGCAGTGGTTACTCGTGATACCCCGCAGTCTGCGGTCAGAGATATGTGAATCCTTCCATTCTGATCCGCAATGCGCGCACTCTGGGGTATTCAAAACCTACCATCGCATTCGACAACGCTACTTCTGGCGCGGGATGTACCGCTACGTGCAGCAGTTCGTTCGCTCCTGCCTCACTTGCCAACGCTGCAAACCGTCAGCACACATGCCAGCCAGTCTGCAACCGTTACCTTGCCCTGAGCGTCCGTTTGGGCGCATAGGTATCGATTTGTATGGACCACATCCTCTGACGTCGGCTGGTAACCGTTGAGCCATCGTCGCCGTAGATCATTTAACGCGATACGCCGAAACCGCCGCTGTCCCTGCGGCTACTGCGCGTGATGTTGCGTGCTTCCTACTGCATCGATTCATACTGCGCCACGGTCCACCTCAGGAGCTTCTCAACGATCGAGGCCGTGTCTTCTTGTCAGAAGTCGTCGAAGCCATTCTCACGGAGTGCCATTCTGTCCACTGCAAAACAACTGCTTACCACCCGCAGACAAATGGTCTGACCGAACGCTTTAACCGCATCCTCGGCGACATGCTTTCGATGTACGTCGCCGCCAACCACACGAATTGGGATACTATACTGCCCTTCGTCACCTACGCCTACAACACCACCCCTCAGAGCACGACCGGTTTTTCACCTTTCTTCTTGCTGTATGGAAGGCACCCGTCACACGCCATCGACACGATACTCCCGTACACGCCGGATTCATCTGAGTGTGCACCTATTTCCGAAACAGCCAGGCTTGATGAAGAGTGTCGTGAGCTGGCCAAGACATTTACGACGCATGAGCAAGAGCAGCAGAAGAGTATTCGTGATGGCTCCGCCATTTCTCAACCCACGTTCCTTCCTGGTTCCCTCGTATGGCTCTCAATCCCGACCTCTGTAGCTGGCCTTTCTTCCAAACTACTCCCGAAATATGAAGGTCCCTACCGTGTGATCGAGCACACATCTCCAGTCAACTATCTTGTCGAGCCAATTGAACAATCTTCGGACATGCGCCGTCGCGGGCGCGACATAGTCAACGTAGAGCGCCTGAAGGCTTACTATGACCCACTCGTAGTGACAAGCTGTTAGGTCGCCAGGCGGCTCCCTCTTCGACCCCGGGGTAATTGTAGAGAAGCCGCCGAACACTGAAGTGGGTCAAACTCTCAAGTGTCCTCTAGTGGGTCTACCCAAAAAGGACGCCGCTCGCACTGAGAGTCCGTGCTTGGCCGTTACTGCCGCCATTGTGTATACTCGCTGTGTGCCGGCTAATAAATGCCATAACAATATATATATATATATATATATATATATGTATATATATATATATATATATATATATATATATATATATATATATATATATATATATATATATATATATATATATATATATATATATATATATATGTGTGTGTGTGTGTGTGTGTGTGTGTGTGTGTGTGTGTGTGTGTGTGTGTGTGTGTGTGTGTGTGGTTTATTTCGACGTTTCGGCCTAGAGTCTGGCCTTCATCCAGGATTGGTGCTCAGCTTTATACAATCTTGAATCATAGGGTGAGAGAGAGAAAGAGGAAGCGAAAAAAAGAAGAAAAAGAAAAGGAAGGAAAAAGAAGGAAAAGGACAAAAGAGAAAAGGAGAATATAAGGTGCACTCCCTCGAGTGCCCCTTTTCACTCTTCCTTCCCCTTCCCCCTCCATCATCTCTCCTTTCTCCTTTTTACCTTTAGGATGTTTGTCTTAGATCAGAGGGTGAGAGAGAGAAAGAGGAAAAAACGAAAAAGAAAAAAAGAAAAGAAAGAGAAAAAAGAAAGAAAAGGAGAATATAAGGTGGACTCCCCGTGGCGCCCCTTTCACTCTTCCTTCCCCTTCCCTTTCCATCTTTCTCCCCTTTCTCCTTTTCACCTTTAGGATGTCTGCAGTCTGTGTACCCTTCCTTTTACTAACGCATTGTTCCCGACCAGACAGCGCCTCCTGGCTCTGGCGGTTCGGTGTGGGGGAAAAAGAGCTTTTTTAAGAAGTTTAAGCCAGCGCCCCGTCAACATCTCGTCATAGAAATAGGGGCGCCGCGTATTGCCGCAGAGGCTGGCAAGCGGGTCCAATGGCAATTCTTGCCGGCTTCTGCATTACGCGTGCAGTAGGGGCCTCCCGACTGTGCACAGGGTTGCCGTTGGGCATGTCACGTTTGGCACAATTGATTATATAGTGAGGTAAAAACAGAAACAGATGGCAGCTGTACTTAGGAAGAGTAGTTACACTTGGAATTATATTGAGTTGTCCAGTGCCCTTCGCAGCTGCAGTGCCGTGCACTCAGTTATTTTTTCATTATTGCCGTTATTGTTTTCTAATGCTTTAATTGCTGCAAGTGTACCCGGATTCTCATTTATTCCTCTATTGAGGGTGTTAAATCGGTGGATAAGGTATGACTCTCGTTGTTCACGTTCTCGGTTTGATTTAAATCCCGTCTCTAAGAGCGTTACTGATAGTTTGTCGAATGCGTGGTCAGGAAGATTGAGATGTTTTGATAGGGGCAGATTTGGGGCTGATTTCGCATGGGCTCTGTGATTATTGAAGCGAATCCTGAATGGTGTTTCTGTTTGTCCGATGTACTGCATACTGCACACGTTGCATTTGAGTAGGTATACCACATTAGAGGAATCGCATGTTAGGTTTCCTCGTATGTTAATCGAAAACTTGGATTGCGCGCTGGTTGCTTTGTGTGTTTCTCGCATCGCTTTGCATACAAGACATCGTGACTTTAAACAAGGTCGGCATGTATTATTAGGGGGTGAGGTATTGATATGAGAGTGGGCAAGTGTGTCTTTGAGGTTGCGTGGTCTTTGGTAAACGACGCCAGGAGCGGATGGGAATGCGCGTTTCAGACGTTCACTTTGTTCCAGAATGTTGCAATGTCGTTTGGGGATTTTGTTCACATTGGGAAATTTGTGCTGTAAGTTAAGCAGAGGTTTGTTTGTTGTGGGTCTTCTTGCGGTGGTCGCTTCATAAGTAGGTCATCACGCTTCAGTTTTCTCGCTTTTTGAACGGCGTCATCAATTACATGTGAGGGGTATTTTTGTTTATCGAGCATAAGTTTTAGCCTCTGTGAGCTCGTGTCGAAATCAGCGTCTCTTGAGCAGATTCGCTTAAGCCGGTGAGCCTGGATGTATGGATACTGTTTTAACAGTGGCGCGGGTGATCGCTTTGGTAATGGAGGATGTGGGAATTGAGAGCGCCCTCCTACCTGGCGCTTCGTTCCCCAGCTGCCGCGCGCGCGCCGACAGCGTAGCCCGGGCGCGCATAAGCACCGGCATCCGCCAAGATGGCTGCCAGGGCGCCTCTTGGTCTGGGCCAAGGAGGATATAAAAACTTGCTGGAGTGGAAGCGACGCCCGTCAGGTGACGCCAGCGGCAGCCATCTTGCCGGAGGCAGAAAGCGCGCTGCCGGTGTGTCGCCTCCACGCTTCGTTGCTGGTGCACGCTGTTCTCTTCAAAGTTTTCAATGAGTGCAAGTCTTGCTCTTGGATAATGGTTACCTCTTGCGTTGCCTACGGATGCACAAACAGGCTGAACAAAGGTTGTGGCCTCACATTTCACCTGTAAGTACATGAAATTTAGCGTGTTCTACTCGCGGTCATTTCTCGCGGTTCTACTCGCGGCATCGTAGTTGCTTGCAGGCCCGCGCATGAAAGAGCAGCAAAATGGCATTGTGTGTACGTGTGCCGCAGTTGATTGTCGTATATTTCTTGACAAATTTCCAAAGAATGCAGAAGTTCGGAGTCTTTCGGAGCGGGCAGTTCGCCGTGAAGGGTGGCGCGCTAAGGATGGAGACCGCCTGTGCTTTGTACATTTCACTCCTGAGTGCTTTGACCACACTGGACAAACGACGCGACTGCGGGTGGGAAGTGTGCCCACGTCGTTTCCAGCTTTTCCGCCTCATCTGCAGAAACCTGTGAGTATTACTGACATCGTTGGACGAGAAGCGTAATGTTTAGCGTGCATAACGCTTGTGGCGTTACGGCCGCTACATAATACTTGTTCCACGAAATGTTGTTGCGGGTATACGTGGCATTTTTTGCGTGCCGAGAATTGGCGGTACTGTGGAGGAGTAGCTGTAGATTTAGCATATCGTTACCGTGTTTGCGTTACCGTTTACCGCGTTACCGGACACCACCGGCGAAGGTGAAGTTACCGGTAATGGTAACTGCTTCACCTTCGGCTTAACTGGTGATCAAGATACTTATTTATTTATTTATTACTACTGACCTGTTTACCAGGTCTTAAGCAGGAATTGGCATACAGAAATGTTTACTACAGAAACATTATTGACATCTACAGCATACTGACAGTGGTTACAATTCAATACTTAAAGGCACATCCGGCGAATGGAAAGTTATACCAGAGCGGGTGCATGTCCTTTTTGCTGGCATACAATGTCTCGTGCACGACTATGAAAAAGCTTGTTACTTAATACATTTATTATTTCTTCAAAGAAAATGTGTAGCTTAATCGTACCCACATTATACGTGTGAGGTTTCATTTAGTTTTTGCGCTTGCTGCCTTTTTAGCTCGTCTGAGAAAACGTATGCTTTCAAACCCAGGTCAAACAGAAGCGTCCCGACCCCAAGTCTCGAGATTTCCCGGCCCCGCTTGGTCCTGAGTGTTCTGGGTTGTGCGACCTGCCTGGAGCTGAATATTTTCCTGAAGACTCGCCAACCAAACAGTTCTACAAAGACAAGGTCCTTTCCTCACAAGAAGAGATAACCCAGTTGAAGAAGAAGGTCAAAACACTGCAGCAAACTAAACGAAGGCTGGTCAAGAGAAATGAAACCGCCCAAGAAATCATCAAAGAAATCAGAGAGCGAAAACTCTTGTCAGAAGAAGGCTCGCATGTGTTTTCATCTGTTTTCTCGGATGACATTCAGCAACTACTGTGCAGGGTGGGCAATGAGCAGAAGGGCAAGCACCCACCTGAGCTGCGAGCATTTGCACTGACTTTGCATTTTTAGTCCAGCCGCGTACGAGTATGTACGATCCAAGTTCAACGAAGCCCTCCCATCCCAGCGAACACTAAGGGGCTGGTACAAGTCTCCCCGCACTGCTCGTTTCGGCTATACTGTTCGCATATATTTTTAATGTTTGTGTGATTGTGTTCTTCCATTTTCGAGTTTCTCAAAGCGTTTTCGTAGGCCATTTCGCCACCAAAAAGCAAAGAATAAATGCTTACAACCTGACACAACTGTTTTTATTGCTTTGAAGACGCGAGAAACTGCACCTGCTGCTTAGATAAGCGCGAGCGCAGCTGTACTCGGCTGTTTCTTGCCTCTGCCAAGATGGCCGCCGGCGGCTCGGCGCGGCTTCACCCGCTCCCATGGGTAAGCATAGGCGGCTTCCACTCCAGCAGGTTTTTATATCCTCCTTGGTCTGGGCCAGTCAACCGTCGGCTCCTTCCCGCGCTGGCATGTCCGGACACGCTACGCTGGCGTGCTGCGCGGGCCTACGTCACAACGCAGCGCCATTTCCCTTTGGGCCGCGCGTGACATCCTCCTCTCCTACGAGCTATGTTGCGCCCGACGATTCGCTCGTCGCGGCAGCAGTGGCGGCAGATGCTCTCAGGCCTTCACAAGGGGTTGACGCGCTGCTTAGCAGGCGGCTTCTCATTCGTGCGTTCGACTTCGGCCCTTGTGCGGGAGTCGTCGCGCCCTAGGCAAGCGTACTTGCTTGGTCTTGCGGAGTACCCTATACGGCCTGCAAGCCCGTGAGTGTCGCACTGTGCTGCATCTTGGGTTAATAAAACCGTTGTTGTTGTTATCCTGCCTCGTGCGTGGTTTCTCCGCCGTATCGGAGAAAACGACGAACCCGGCCGCAGCGTCGTCGCACGCAGCGGCAGTGGAGGACGTCGCATCCCTTCACGGTTGCGCTTAGTAGGTAAGCCTAGTGCAAACATATATCTCCACAAGGCATTGTTGTCGATCCGTTGGTTTACGATATATGGTTCCGATATATTCAAGATTGTATAAAGGTGAGCACCAACAAACTGTACCCTCACTCCTGATGAAGGCCAGACTCTAGGCCGAAACGTCGAAATAAACCACGTTGTGAACGTTCACGGAGGATCTACTTGACTACTGGCAACGCTACGGCCACTCAACCACTATGCCTGCCTATATGCCAAGCAGTTGGTTTTAGTCAATAACCCCATTATCATATATATATATATATATATATATATATATATATATATATATATGTGTGTGTGTGTGTGTGTGTGTGTGTGTGTGTGTGTGTGTGTGTGTGTGTGTGTGTGTGTGTGTGTGTGTGTGTGTGTGTGTGTGTGTGTGTTGTGTGTGTGATAAGGGGGTTTATTGACTAAAACCAACTGTCTGGTTCAAGGGGCGTCAGTCACTGTCACGAGCTCAGCTCTTCGTCGTAGTTGTCTTCTAGGTGCTCCGACTAGATACTGTCTCTGTCCCTCTTCCCCACTACATTTGCCCCGGTGGTGAAGAGGAATCATCCAGACGAGTCACGGCGAAGCAAGCACAAGGGGATCATAGTAAGGTTTTAAGCGGGTGAATTGGACTGTTTCGCGACCACGGCATCGTCTGTCATCGGCAGGTGTCACTGGTTCGACGACGTAGTTGACAGGTGACGTGCATTGAACGATGCGGTACGGGCCATTGTATTTGGGTGCAAACTTTCGGGAGAGGCCGGGGGACTGGAATGGAACCGAAAGCCATACAATTAAGCCTATACGGGGAAGCTGTGAGCGGGCTTGTCTTGGTCAAGTCGTTCTTTTTGGAGACCTTGTGTGACGGACGTAAATGAACGTGTTCATTGGCGGCACTCTTCGGCATACTGAACAAGTTCGGAGGCTGGACGGTATTCTGAAGCATCTGGGTGGTAAGTAAGTATCGTGTCAAGCGTAGAAGAGGGCTCACGTCCGTACAGTAAAGTGAAGGTGAAAACCCAGTAGTTGCTTGTGTGGCCGTATTATACGCATACGTCAGGAAAGGGAGCACCAAGTCCCAATTAGAATGGTCGGAGGATATGTACATAGAGAGCATATCACCGAGCATGCGGTTAAAGCGCTCCGTCAAACCGTTTGTCTGTGGGTGATAGCTTGTAGTGGTGCGATGAATAATATTGCACTCACTGAAAAGCTCGTGGACGACTTGCGATAGAAACGCACGCCCACGGTCGCTAAGCAGCTCACGTGGCGCACCATGGCGAAGGACAAAGCTAAGCAAGATGAACAAGGCGACATCACGAACAGCAGTGGCTGGCAAAGTGGCGGTTTCAGCGTAACGGGTTAGATTGTCAACGGCCACAATAATCCAGCAATTTCCCGCAGGAGTACAAGGTAGTGGGCCGGAGAAATCGATGCCGATTCTATCAAATGGCCGAGCTGGACACGGCAATGGTTGTAATTCGCCAGAGGCATGACAAGTTGTTTTCTGTCGCTGACACTCAGTGCAGGAGCGTATGTACTTGCGAACGTACGGGTGCATTCCACTCCAGAAAAATTGCTGGGCCGGTCGTATGTTTTCAAAACGCCAGCGTGCGCGTTTTGAGGGTCTGCGTGGAAGTACGCGCACATGTTGGAGCGCAAATGGCGAGGTATAACAAGACGCCATTTCCTACCATCCGGCTGATAGTTGCGAATGTACAACATGGCATCCCGTATCGCATAATGGGGAATTTGCCGACGTAGTGAACGAGGTAGACACTGGCGTGGTGTCACCGAAGACGACGAGAGAACGTCGATGAGCGAGGCTATCCAAGGGTACTTGCGTTGTTCCGAAGACATGTCAGCGGTATCGATGCTGTCGATGGTAGCTTCGGCAAAGGTAACAGGTGCAATGGCTGAAGGAAGGGGCAAACGAGAAAGAGCATCTGCGTCGGTATGCTTGCGGCCTGAACGGTAAATGACGTCAATATCGAATTCCTGTAAACGTAGCGCCCAACGTCCAAGCCGGCCCGAAGGGTCCTTCAATGAAGCGAGCCAACAAAGTGAATAATGATCTCTCACTACATCAAATGGGCGTCCGTATAAGTAAGGACGAAATTTTTGTAATGCCTAAACAATAGCCGAACATTCCTTTTAGGAAAACGAGTATTTGTGCTCTGCCTTGGTTAGGGTGCGAGTGGCATACGCAACTACATACTCCGAGAAGCCAGGCTTGCATTGAGCAAGGACAGCGCCAAGTCCTATGCCACTGGCATCCGTGTGCACCTAGCAGTAGAGTAAAAGTGGCGTAAAATAGGTGGTGAAGTAAGGAGATGGCGTAATGCTGCAAAATCATCATCGCATGCTGGTGACCAATCAGAAAGGTGTACATCGCCAGTGATCAGCTGTGTCAGTGGTGCGATTATCGAAACAAAGTTCTTCACAAAGTGGCGAAAGTATGAGCACAGGCCGACGAAGCTGCGAAGCGCTTTCATAATCGTAGCCTTCGGGAACTCAGCGACAGCACGAAGCTTCTCTGGGTCTGGGAGGACGCCATCTTTAGAGACAACGTGGTCAAGTATTGTGAGCTTCCGAGCTCCAAAGCGGAAGGCTTCTTGATGTTTACTTGAAGGCCTGCGCTCGTGAGGCAGCTCAAGACTTCGCTGAGACAATGGAGGTGGCTGTCGAAATCAGGGGAGAACACAACAACATCATCCAAGTAACATAGGCATGTCTTCCATTTTAGCCCACGCGAGACGCTATCCATCATCCTTTCGAATGTGGCTGGCGCATTACAAAGGCCGAAGGGCATTGCATTAAATTCGTACTACCAATCGGCCGTCACAAAATCAGTTTTTGGACGATCTGATGGTTCCATGGGGACCTGCCAATAACCGGACCATAGGTTTCGTGATGAGAAGAATTCGGTGCCTTGCAAGCAGTCCAGGGAATCATCGATGCGCGGCAAAGGGTATACGTCTTTAAGGTGACTTTTTAAACGGTGGTAATCGACGCAAAAGCGAATCAAGTCGTCTTTTTTCCTCACAAGTACCACAGGTGAAGACCAGGGACTGCTGGACGGCCGAATGACGCCACGTTGAAACATGTCCGCCACTTGCTTGGTGATCACACGACGCTCAACAGGAGATACACGGTAGGGACGCTGTCGCAGAGGCGCTTGGGAGCCTGTGTTAATAGAGGATTTTAGTCTGTCCGGCACTCCGGTACGTTTTTGCGTATACCGGGATGCTGGAGGGCGTCAAGCCGGATAGTGTTGAAACAAGCTTTTGGCGCTTTTAGGCCGTACCACCCAAAATACGCCCAAAAAAACGCCCGCAACGCCTTCGCGGCCGTGGCCGCCATATCTGCGTATGCGCAAAGTAGAAAGTCTTCAGGATTACTGACTAAATCTGAAAAGAAAAGAATTAGACAATGCCAATAAATGTTTCGTTATAAAACGGAAATTTATGTTTGTTTTCTTTACTTGCGCTATGATTCCGGCCTAACTATGAAGAAAACGTCAGCATCATGGTGATCGGCATCAGAATCGGCATCACGAGTGTCCGCCGCAGTAGCATTGACACTCTTTCATGATTGTGTGCCACCGCGAAGCATTCTCGAAAGGGTTCAGAGCAAGAACTTCTTCGAGTATAATTTTATCGTCGGAAGGCGAGTAGCGTGTCCGTGGCGCCATGCTGGTAGCGAGCCTCGAAGTAGCTATTTTGTTTTTTACGTTTTTGTTTCGCTCGACTTGACTCGGCTCAAAGGGAAGCCGATAGTGGCAACCTTGGAAGCATGTCGGGCGTTTGAGAGTGTCCGATGAACACCCGTAAGGCACGTGCATGCGCAGTTC